GGTGGCTGCGATGATGGGCTCAAGTATAGCAGGGATTGTGGGGCTGGCGTGGGATCGGGCAGTGTTTCGTTCTGCTGTGCATGGGGTCGCTATGAGTCGGAAACAACTTGACAGCACTTAACAGCAACAACAACAAGAGGCAAATACTGTGCTGAGTGATGGGAAATAAGTAAGAACACCCCAAATTAATTTAGAACTCCAGATATGAGTGGTGGCTATGCTAAGTTGTGAAGCTAAAGCTGCACTTTGAACCAAAAGTTAACTTCTAACCTAGCAATGTAGCCTGTCTTTCCTGTAACTCTTATTCCTATAACTCCTGCACCCTGAGAAAATTACATGGTAAACAATTTCAGAGAAGGTAATTTTGTTTGCTTATGGATTTTTCTCATAAGAAGCCAGGTCCAAAATTCTCCCAACAGATGCTAACTCAAAAGAAACTTTAGAATTATGCATGTCCTCCTAGCAGTCATGCAATCAGGGTCTCATGATTGTTTTGAGGCCACATGTACACTATTTAATGATTACTTTGCAACTTAAAAAAAAAATTTTAGAAATGTATATAATCTCTTACCAATCAGATGTACCCTTATCCAATTTCGTAACCATTACTTTTATATCATTAACAATATCATTAATATCACATGTAAGTAAAATTTTCCTGAAGATAATATTAAAATGATAGCAGCAGTATATTGGCGGAGAAGTAACCGAAGCAATTTAAGCCAGATTCAGAAGAGGATGTGGAATGAGGGATATCATTGCTGATGTCAGATGAATCTTAGCTGAAAGCAAAGAATTCTAGAAAGAATTTTACCTTTTTTTTTTTTTTTGACTATGCAAAGGTATTAGACTCTGTGGATCATAACAAATTATGGATAATATTGTGAAAAATAGGTATTACAGAATACTTAATTGTTCTCACGAGGAACCTGTACATAGACCAAGAAGCCATGGTTTGAAAAGAACAAGGAGATACTGCACGGTTTAAAATCAAGAAAGATGTGTTTCAGTGTTGTATCCTTTCACCATACTTGAATAATCTGTATGGTAAGCAAATGATTCAAGAAGCTGGAATATATGAAGAACGCAGCCAGCATCAGGATTGGAGGAAGACTAGTTAACAACTTTCAATATGCAGAAGACACAACCTTGCTTGCTGGAAGTGAAGAGAACTTGAAGCATTTATTGATGAAGTGCAAAGGCTACAGCTTTCAATATGGATCACACTTCAATATAAAGAAAAATCCTCACAACCTGACCAATAAGCAACATCATGACAAATGGAGAAAAGTTTGAAGTTTTTAAGGATTTCATTTTGCTTGGATCCACAACTGATGTCCACGGAAGCAGCAGTCAAGGAATCAAACAACATATTGCACTGGGAAAATCTGCTAAAATATTTGTAAAAGGCCCTCTTTTACCTCTTTGTTAGAGAGCAAAATGTTACTTTGAAGAGACTAAGTTATGCCTGACTCAAGCCAGGGTATTTTCAATAGTGTCATATGCAAGTGAAAGCTGGACAATAAATAAGGAAGAACTCCTGTTGTCAATCCAGAAGCCAAACTTTGATGCATTTGAATTGTGGTGTTGGTGTAGAATATTGAACATATTATGAACTGCTAGAATGAATGAATCTGTCTTTGAAAAAGTATAGCCAGAACGCTCTCTAGAAGTGAGAATTGTCAGTTTTCATCTCTTATTCCTTGGTTATATTGTTAGAAGGACCCAATCCCTGGAGAAGAGCATCATGTTTTGTAGTGCTTAAGTAGAAAAGGGGAAGACCCTCAACAAGATGGCTTGACATAGTGGCTGCAATGATGGGCTCGAGCATAGCAAGGTTGAGAGGATGGTACAAAACCCGGCAGTGTTTCATTCTATTGTGCTTAGGGTCACCGTGAGTCAGAACCAACTCTACAGCATCTAACAACAATAAGACCTAAATGTTACCCAATCACTGATTTTTTTTTTCTGAAGTTAGTTGTAATCATTACCTAAATGTCAACCAATTACTGAATTTTTACCAAAGTTCCTTGTATTTTTTTAATATAAACTCTCTAAACTGTCTCCTCCTTGGATCACTTAGTTTAGAATCCTTTGCATCTTGTTATTCTCAATTTACAAACAACCTTACCTCTCAATAAGCACTCTGCAATTTAATTTCAACAAGACTGCCATTTTGCTCTACAACAGAATAAACCACCACGAGTTGCTCTCCAGCGGACCTCAACTCATGGCAACCCCAACTCATGGCAACTCCACTTACGTCAACAGACCTGTGCTCCACAGATTTTTCAACGGCTGATCTTTTGGAAGTACATCACCAGGTTTTTCTCCCCAGGCACCTCTAGGTAGATTTCATCCTCCAACCTTCCCACTTCCCAGCACATTATCTATCTGCCCTGTCAGGGATTATAGGAATACAAAGGTGCATAAATTCCAGGCTCTTCCTTCAAGTTACCGTTCACCTAGAGCATAAAGACAGTTTGGTTGTTACACACTTTGGATGGAAATCACATGATTTTTTAAAATTACCTTAAATAGTTGCAGGAAAAGTTGAAATTTGTCCAGGCTTGGAGCACCAAAGATTCCAGATGCCAAGTAATAATCCTAAATAGCTCTTACAAGAAATCTCCATACCATCTCAAAGTCTTGCCCCAGGGAACAGGGTCCAGGCCATAAAAAAGTACAGCTGCCTGAGAGGTCCCTCAGGTTTTTTATCTAGTTCTGCTGCTGTACTGGTATTTGACCTTGTGCAACAGAGAACGTGTAGTACCTCCGGAGCAGGAGGCAAGGTTCAGGGGAGGCTTCTGCGCTCTTCCTGGGCACACTTTAAAAGCAACCTCTTCCTACGTGAGGTTCAGTTCATAGCTCGCAGGACTCCTTACCTGGAGCCTGGGCATGCCCTTTCAAGCTGCCAAAGCCATTCATTATAGTGTTATAGTCAAAAGGACTTCAACTCGTTTGCTTCCCGTTGTCAATCCAGAAACCAAACTTTAACATGGTTTGCATTGTTAGAGTCTTGGAACTTTTCTTAAGTGAGATGTTTTGTGGTTCACGTTACACTATAGGGTAACGGGGCGTGCGCGCAAATGGGAGAGTGAAAGTTCAGATCCCCTGGACTTCCCGCGGGCGGAGGCAGACCGTTGTATGGGGGCCGCCTCTCGGAGACGCTAAAAAAAAAGACTGCAGCGCATCGCCTTCTGAACTACATTTCCCTGGGGTGCTTGCGACCCACCTCGGGGCTGGAGGAGGCGCTCGGAGCCAGACTACTGACTACCGCAGCACCAAGGGCTCGCAGGTCTGGTGGGAGGGCCGTCTCGCGGTGCATGCCGGGGCTTGTAGTGCGGCATGCGCATGGGACGGTCTCCTCTGTGATTCGCGGTGCCGACTCAGCGCTGCGGGGCGGCTCCGGGACTTGTGGCTCGGATGGGTCTTCTGAGAGGCGGGTCCGGGCTGAATGCGCGTGCGTCGCGCCCGAAGGGTCGGCTGTGCCTCCCGAGCGGTTGGACTGTAGTTTTGTGTGGACACCGCCTTCCTGCTCCGCCCCTTGCCTGGCTGGCCCGCCCCTCCTTCCTGGAGCCACAGCTGAGGAGGCGGCGGGCGGCGAGTGGCCCGGCGACTTGTGCCGGCCGAACCCTATGCGTTGACTCGCGAGACATAGGTGCCTCCTGCCCTACCGGCGGGGCCTGGGCTTCCTGCGGCGGGATGTTCTCCCGAAGGAGCCACGGAGATGTGAAGAAATCCATCCAGAAGGTGCTGGACCCGAAGAAGGACGTGCTGACCCGCTTGAAGCACCTGCGGGCGCTGTTGGGTGAGCGCGCGTCTGGGCGCCGTCTGTAGGGGAAGCCGAGTCGGGCCACCTGTCCCGGAGGGCGCCTCCTGAGGCCAGCCTGAGACTTCGCGGCCAGTGAGGGTCGAGGGGCTGGGGAAGCTATGGCCGTCGGGGCGGGGACGTCGAATTCTGTTCCCTGGCCGGTGCGTGGACCCCCCCGAAGCATTGTTCCCTACGAAGGGGACAGCCTGGCTTGCGGGCACTGTCCCTGTCGCCTTGATTGTAAATTTACTCCAGATTTTCACCAGACGCCTGCCTCCCGGGTAACCTCGAGGCCGGACACGCTGTGGCTATATACCTTTCCCTCCCTAGCAAACAGACTAAACCCCCAAGTTGTCTCCATACGTAGTCTGAGACCGTAAATAGACCTCAAGTCTCAGCACACATTTAACAGATTTAATTTAACTGTCATCTCTCTCAACCCCATGAATTTTTTTTTAATAGTCTGCGACCCCAGCCAGCCTGAGCCACCAAGTGGTCCTAGAACACGTTTAACTGTCATCGTCTTTGTCATGCCCATCTTTTAAATTTTATCTTTATTTTAGGTCTGGCTGCTTCAGTTCCTTTGTGCCTTTAGTATGAAGGGACTCCTTATGCCTGCTTGGGAGGAATGGAGGCTTTCCTGGGTTGGGGGAGGCTGCTTTTCTTTATTGCCAGTGTAACAGTGATGGTTATATGCATTCCGGGGTTTTGTGGACTGCTGGGTGGAGGTTCTGAGCAGTTCAGGTGGGCCTGGAGTTGATCTGTGATGAAGCTCACCTCTGTGGTGCAAAGTGTTCACAAGGCTTCCTGTCACCTCCTGCATGTGACTTGTAGCTGGCTCACCGAGACTGTGTTTTGTTTTCTGTTTTCTTATCTCCTTAGTCTTATGTTAGGAATTCTGGTGGCGTAGTGCCTAAGGCACTTGACTGCTAACCAGAAGGCTGGCGGTTCAAACCCACCAGCCACTCCCGGGAAGGAAGGTTGGGCAATCTACTTCCGTAGTGATATCGCTTCGGAAACCCCGGAGGGGTCGCTATGAGTCGGATCCGACTCGAAGGCAGTGAGTTTGGTTTGGTTTGGTTTGGTTTTTTAGTCTTATGTTTAATCTTTGCTGTCTCTAGACAGACTTATGTTTGTGTATTTGGAGAACAGGAAAGGACAACTTATGTTTTTTCTAGACGTATTTTTATTCTTAAAATAAGTGGGAAAAAAAAAAAACCTCATCTTGCAGGACATGTAGTCTTCATGTGACTGAGAGAATATGGCATAAAATAATTCATTTTATATGTGAGATTTTAAAATAAAAATCTTCATGAGATAAAAAGTTGCTAATTATTTCTATTTGTACTCTGAAGTGCCTCTAAAGAAAAAACAAAGATCTGATTTTACCAAGTGAAATTATTCACAATTTCAGATTCCTTGAAATTACAGTCTTGTTCAGTTTGGAATGAAATGTAAATTGTTTACCATAGAGGGATTAGTTTTCAAGACTTTTGAAAGTGAACTGTAAATTGGTAAATTGAACCTTCGACTTCCTGTAGTAAAATACCATGTATACACAAGTTGCATTGTGTGTCAGTAGTGACTGATTAACACCTATTGCAGGGGCATTTGTTATAAAGGAGAGTTGAGCAGTATTTTAAAACATTTGCTACTTTGGGAATTTTTTTTGGGGGGTAGAGAACTTGGACTTTTGTTCTGTCCAAGTCAACAAGATTAAGTTTGCCACATTTTGTAAAGGCAGAATTTATTAGACCTAGATCAGTTTGTTTTCTTAGAGGTATACAGTACACTGATACTATTCTGAGAAAGTAGACGATTTTCAACTCTGTGTAATTGTGGTTTCACTCTAAGGTCTTATTTTGAGGAACTTTCTTTTATCATTTCAGTGAACTCATTATGACCCAGTTTTGTGACATGTACAGGGTCTTTAATATTTCCTTAGGTGGGTGCTGTTTTTAGGGAGCTTTGGTGGAGTACTGGACAAAGAATTTGGCTGCTTGCCACAAAGTTGGCAGTTCAAACCCACCTGCTGCTCTTCCGGGGGAAGATGCAATCTAGTTCTGTAAAGATTTACAGCTGTAGAAACCAAAGGGGGTTGCAGTGTGTTGGAATTGACTCCTTAGCAGTGGGTTTATGCTGTTTTTGATTAATGCATTTGTTTGTGGAACTACCCAGTTTCCTTTGTTTGTTACTGTAATCTTTGTGGGAGCTGAGCTTTTTGTAAAATGTGCCCGAGGAATTCTAGCCATGATGTTTAATGCTAAGTCTTCCCCTGTGTCTATAAAGACTTTAAGAAAAATGGTACATTCATGTATTAAATTCTGTCACATCATCTATCTATTTATTTGGTTGCTGCTTTCAAAACCTTACATAGAAAACAAAAGTGTTCTTGAGCACAAAGATAGGAATGAAGCCAAGATCAGGGAAACTATTTGAAGGAAATGAATAGTAATTACTTTTGTATTTTTATTTGTATATTTATATAACACTCTTGCTTTTCACATAGTTTATCTTCAGGTAATAGTAAAAACATTATTTTTTAGATACAAAGATGCTACTAGACTCTGGGCTAGTTATTTAGCCTGTCTTTGAAACAATTTCTTTATCTGTACAATGCATATGGTAATGTGTGCCTTCTAAAGGTTATTATTATTATTTTTATTGTGCTTTAGGTCTAAGTTTACAGAGTAAAGTTTTACATTCAATTCATGTACATTTAGTTTCATTCCCCATTTACCATCACCAACCCTAACATAAAGGTTATTTTGAGTATTATATAAACTTCTCCAGCTTGGAGTAGATTTTAACAGTTTCCTCTTGTACTGTAAGCATACCTCATTTTATTGTACTTTTCCTTATTGTGCTTCACAGATACTGTATTTTTTACAAATGAAAGGTTTTTGGCAATACTGTGTCGAGCAAGTCTGTCAGGACCATTTTTCCAATAGTATGTGCTCATTTCGTGTCTCTGTCACTAACATCAAGTTGGAGCCCACACATAGTGACCCTTCCTTGGGTTTCTGAGGCAGTATCACTATAGAAGTGGCTTGCCCAACTTTTCTTCCGAGGAGTGGCTGGTAGGTTTGAACGTTTTGGTTATCAGTCAAATGCCTTAGGCACTATGCCACCTTAGAAATCCAAGGAGGGGTCGCTATGAGTCGAATCAACTCCAGACCAGTGGGTTTGGTTTGGATTAAATCTTTATGTAAGCAGACTGCCACATCTTTCTCCTGTGGAGAGGTTGGTAGGTTTGAACCACGTACCTTTTGGTTAGCAGCTTAGCACTTTAACCACTGTGCCATCAGGGCTCGTTTGTACCTTGTCCTCAGGGTGTCCGAAGTTTAAGATAAATAATCAGAATGCTGTACATAGAGTTACTTTGAGTCAGAACCAATGTGAGAGCACCTAACAACATTGGCAGGAGTTGAACTGGGAGGCAGTAGAGAGGGAGAAGAGTGGTCTGGCATGCAAGAGCTGAGGGAGATTGGAAGCCAGATCTTAAAGGGCTTTATTTGCTGGAGTTAGTAGCTCAGATCTTAACCTGAAAAGAGGGGGCCCTCTTGGAGAATCTTTAGTGGTTCAAATAATGAGATATGAGAACTGCTGTCAGCCAGGGGGGAGCTCTGGTAGCACAGTGCCTAAGGCACTTGACTGCTAACCAGAAGGCTGGCGGTTCAAGCCCACCAGCCACTCCTCAGAAGGAAGATGGGGCAATCTATTTCTGTAGTGATAGTGCCTCGGAAACCCAAGGAGGGGTCGCTATGAGTTGGGTCCGACTCGAGGGCACATAACAGCAACAACAACATCAGCCAGGGCCAGCAGGACCAGGATTAAAGGATTGGCAGTAGTGGGAGGAGTTAAAGTGGAGGTGGGGAGAGGGATAAGGTTGTGGCAGTAATGGAGCAGATGGATGATAAGGGCTTGAAATAAGGCTCTGTCCAGCGAATGGAGAGGAGGTATAAGATTATAGAGGCTTTGGTGGCACAGCTGTTAAAGCACTGAACTGCTACTGAAAAGGTTGGTAGTTTGAACCCACAGGCTGCTCTGTGGGGAAAGATGTGGCAGTCTGCTTCTGTAAAGATGTATAGCCTTGGAAACCTTATGAGGCAGTTCTACTCTGTCCTAGAGGGTTGCTGTCAGTAGGAATCAGCAGCAGTGGGTTTGGTTTTTTTTTTTTTTTTTTTTAGTGCAGCAGGAAGGGAACCCTGGTAGTGCAGTTGTTAAGCTTGCAGCCTCTCTGTAGGAAAAACCTGTGACAGTCTTTTTCTGTAAAGATTGTTGTTGTTATGTGCCGTCGAGTCGGACCCCACTCATAGGAAGCCCTCCATGGGTTTCCAAGGCAGTATCACTACGGAAGTAGATTGCTCAACCTTCGTTGCGAAGGAGTGGCTGGTGGGTTTGAACCACTAGCCTTCTGGTTAGCAGTTAAGTGCCTTAGGCACTATGCTACCAGGGCTCCTTCTGCAAAGATTACAGTCTTGGAAATCCTATGGGGCAGTTAGTTCTACTCTGTCCTATAGTGTTGCTAGATGACAGTGGATTTTGGTAGTGTAGGAGAAACCTAGTGATTCTCTAAGTAAAACAGTGAAAGTGAGGTTTGTAGAAGCTAGGGAAGAAGTAGTCAATCTAAATGAGAAGAGATTTGGAACCAAAAGTCACAGTCAAGTGAGATAAAGTGATACCAGGGTTTGGATGAAGTATTTAGAGATCTGAGAAAAATCTCACAAATGCTCTTTATATTGACAGAACAAAATATAACATTTTAGTATATTTTCTTTCCTGTACCTGTTCTTTAAGTAGGGGTAAGTTCACTTAGAATTTTTAAATGTTGCTTTCTAAACTTGTAACTATTTCCCCATGTTTTGTTGCTTTCATTGTTATTAACTACACATTTATTGAGACTGTGTACCATAATTTAGCTAATTATTTCCTGGATGGTTAAATTGTTTTCTTTGTTCCTTCTTTTCTCCTCTTCTCTCTCTCTTTTTTTTTTTTTTTCCCCTGATACAAATAATACTGCTGTAAACATCTTAGAAAGTAACTTTTCCTGTATTTTCTATTACTTTCTTAGAATAGATTTTACTGAAACTAAAACAATGGGTTTGAACATGTATATGACTTGATTCACAATGTTTATTAGATTAGATGTTTTCCTCATTAGCCCTGCCAACAGCAGTGATTGAGACTACCATTTTCATTGCAGTGTAGCCAGTGATAAACAAGTTTTTATAATTTGCTAATTGGTGATAAGTGTTTGGGAGGATGGGAGTGTCCTAGATAGAATCAGAAACGTTGGGTGAGGATTTTGGCTAATGAAGGGATAAGATGAGTTTGATTTTGCATGCCAGTTTGAAAAAATGGCAAGATGCAAGTAGAAGTGTATTAGAGGTTTTGGGACAGGTATTCTGGAGCTTAAATAAGAGGATAGAATGCTGTGAAATGCCTGTTTGTCGTCATCATCATCTCATTAAATCTTTCCACAACCTATGATGAAGGTAGTATTCTTACTTTCAACCCACAGATGAGGAAACTGACTCAATGATATTAACTAATTATCTACCAGCACCCAGCTACTAAGTGGGATTCATATGAATCCAAAGCCCATGTTGTACTTCTGTTAGTTATCTGATTCAAAAGTGTATTTATGTATCAGAAAATGTGTTACCCACCGGAAGGGATGTTAACATATAAACCAAAGCCCAACAGCTTTGCACGTCTTCCAAAGGTGTTACTTTGGTGTTTGCTGCTATCTTTTTGGTTTGTTTTTCTATTTTCTTCTAGGGGACTTGGGGCTATCATATTTGATTTGAACATGGATTCTTCTATGTAGTGGTGATCATGGGCCACTTCATATGTTTGGCAGGCCTAGCAGATGGTAAGATAATTGCATGGGCATGAATGCCACATGGACAGTTCTATAAACTAGAATGAAGTTAGGAGGTGTAGTTTTAGCTTCTGTGGGACTTAGTATACTCAGTTGACCTTGTTTGAAGCAAAGTGATTTTGCCATAATGCCCTCTTTTCTACTTTTTCATTGACTAACATTTTATGCCTGTCTCAGAAGGAAGGTTGGGCAATCTACTTCCGTAGTGATATTGCCTTGGAAGCCCAAGGAGGGGTCACTGTGAGTCGGGTCTGACTTGACAGCACATAACAACAACATTTTATGCCTGTAGTCTCTGGATTTAAATGAACTTTGAACACATGCCAGTAACATGAATACATCATCCTGAGTTCTGGGGCTTGAAGTTGTCTTGACTTTTGATTTGAGAAAGGTGAATCTAATATGTCTGATTGAGTTTATATGTTTTGTTTGCAGTAACTAAGATTGGCTTTTACCTTTTATTCTGAGATAGAAGATAATTGGTAGATCTAGAATATTTTGATGTAAACTTTTATAATTCTATTTTATTTGTTTTTTATAAGCCCTTTATTTATAACCAAAAATCAAACCCACTTCCACAGAGTCGATTTCAACTCATAGTGACCCTGTAGGAAAAAGTAGAACTGCCCCAATAGGGATTCCATGGCCATAATCTTTATGGAAGCTACATCTTTCTTCTGCGCAGTGGCTGGAGAGTTCGAACCACCAACCTTTTGGTTAGCAGCTGAGCACTTAACCACTATGCCACCAGCTTTCTCTCCTTTACTTACAGATGGACATAAATACTTTCACTAACTTAGAGTACTGATCTGCGGTTTCCAAACTGAGTTCTATAGCTAAAACTGTAGAAAATTGTTTATTTAAAAAGAATGTTGATTTTCAAAATAGCACATTGATTTCATTTGAATTTTAAAATTATTTTTAAAAGAAGGAATGTAGGTTACTTTACAGTAAAATTGAGCATAATTAATATATAATTGTAATAAACAACTGTCCTGCCTTTGTATTTTTTTAAAAAAATTGAGTTTCAGAAGCATTTAGTGTGTGTTTGTTGCTACTGAGCAGGGTTCCATATTCAGAGATGAATAAGGACAAGCCTAGGATTTACAGTATGGTAGGAGACACAGATACACAAACGTGTACATTTACAACAGAGCATTTTCAGTGCCACTGTGGAGTGGGAGGAAACTGTAGCAGTGACCACTAGGTATAGAAGGAGCATGGCAGAAACGTGTGTTGAGAGGTTGCTTCCTGAGGGAGTCAGGTCTGAGGTGAGGTTTGAATAGTGAATAATAGAGTTTACCAGGTTGACTGGTTGGGGATGAAAGGACTTCAGCGAGAGCAGCGTGTACAAAGGCAGTGGTGTGAGTCACCATGGAGTTGAGTGAGCCAGTGGCTGTTACTGTGTAGTGTAGGTAGAGTTTGGGACCCCTGGAGGAGTTTTGAGAAGAGTAGAAACCAAATCCAATGTGTTCCACCTGGTGCAGCAAATGGTCTGAAGTTCCATTCTCCCCAGAGATTTGAAACACAGATGCAGGGAGAGAGAGGGCTCCCATCCTTTTGTATTGCTACTGTAAGCATGTAGGCTGGGCTGCTGATGTTCATCTTTCCCACTGTGTGGAGAGGGTCTGCTCATATTGGATTCCACCCTCAGAGGGAAGCAGAACTGAGAGAGTGAAAGTGAAAAGGACCCCAGTGGACCATGTGTTAGCCGATGGATGCAGCCATGTCTGTGCCAGCTCTACCCCTGAACTTGTCAGTCATAGGAGCCAATAAACATCCAGTTTTTTGCTTTAACTAGCTTGAGTCTACTTTTGGGGTCTTACAACTGAAAAGCGTTCTGATTAATATGCCAGGAAGAGAGAGAGAATCCAGGTCAAGGATGGGTGTTTTTGTGTAATATATGTAGAGATACAGTTTTTATGTTTTTTGAGAACCAGTGAAATGAGCTTTTTTGTCTTTAGGAGGACTTATGAAAAGCAAAACTGAAGAAAGTGTAGAGAGAGGGGATAATAATGGGGAAGGGTATGGTCTGCAGTGGAATCAAGAGTGTGATGTTGAAGAGTTGGCTTCAGCTAAGGCCAGCTTGAAGGAAGCAAGGATGGAGTGAGTGCTAGAGGACGAGAGGGAGCTCTCATGATAACTTCTGTTTTCTCTGTGAGGGTAAGAGATGAGGTCATCTGTTAAACCAGTTTTCTTGCTGGTACAGTAGTAGGAACTTGGTTGGCTTTGCTCCCTCTTCTGTACAATATACCCTCCGAAAATACATGAAATGTGTAATCTGTCAGGCTTTTTGTTGTTGTTCTTTTTGGGAGTGATCTTACAAGTGTATTTAACTTACTGAGTTAAATGCTTTGCTAAGAAAGGTAGAAATTATATACACACATACATATATATATATATATATATATATATGTTTGTATATATCATTGTGCGGTGCCTTAGGCATTTGACTGCTAAGCAGAGTATTGATGGTTTAAACCCACCGTACACTCTGTGGAAGGAAGATGGGGCACTCTCCTTGTGTAAAGATTTCCTGCTTCAGAAAACCAATGGTGGTTGCTATGAGTTGGACTTGACTTGATAGCAGTGAGTTTGGTATTGTTTTTATATTTATATCTATGTCTGTTTATCTATATATACGTGTGTGTGTGTATATACATGTTTGTGTATTATACACATAACTATGTATGTGTGTGTGTGTATGCATACATATGTATACATAGGTAAAACCCAAATCAAACCCAGTGCCATCAAGTTGATTGTGACTGACAGCAACCCTGTAGAACAGAGTAGAACTGCCCTGTAGGGTTTCTAAAGTGGAAATCTTTATGCAAGCTGACTGCCACGTCTTTCTACTGTGGAGTGCTGGTAAGTTTGAACCGCCAATATTTCAGTTAGCAGCTGAGTGCTTAACCACTATGCCACCAGAGCTCCTACGCACATACACGTACATACAAATATACATACAAACATACACACAAACAACATGTTGTTGTTTCATCCTCACAGTCATTGCTGTGGTTGAACCCATTGTCACAACCACTACGTCAGCCCATCTTGTTGTGCGTCTTCCCCTTTTTTGCTGACCCTCTGCTTTATCCAACATGATATCCTTATCCAGGGACTGATCCCTTCTGACAGCATAACCGAAGTATGAGAGACGAAGTCTGGCCATTCCTACTTCTAAGGAACATTCAAACTGTACTTCCTTCAAGATAGATTTATTCATTCTTTTAGCAGTCTGTGGAACATTCATATTCAATATTGAATGTACCATGTACACATACGATTATGTATGTGTACGTGTGTGTCTAATTAGATAGTTTAAGTAGTGGAGATATTGCCAGCCCTTCCACTCAGTGACTGTGATGTGCCCAGAAGTAGGCATGAGGTGAGACTCCCTGCCCTCAGTGGTCATTGTTTTTTGCCTCTCATTGTGGGAGTATCTTTTCTGCTGGGTGTGAGTCTAGTGTTTAAGAGTAATATTGATTTTGCTCTATTTTTGCCTTTCTTGTGACTTAACCCCAAGTAAGATTTAACTCTACATTATTAATACCTCATATTGATGTTACTCTATAGCCTTTGCAAGATGTTTTCTCATGTTCTCACTGGATCAAATTGCTACCTTAAGCTATCAGTTCATGTTAATCATAAAAAGGATTTATTACATACCTGTTTAGTAATGTGTTTTAGGTGGCTTGCAATGCAAGTTATTTTTATGTAATTACAGCCTCCTGAATCTGTCAGTTCAAATAGGTTTTTTCATTCTATTAGCAAAATCCTTTGATGAAGTTAAGAGAGGAATTTACAGGAATTATACCCTTTAAAGGAGACAACCAAAAACAAACAAAAAAACCAAACTCACTGCCATCGAGTTGATTCTGACTCATAGTGATCCCTCCTTGGGTTTCCGAGACGGTATCTCTGTGGAAGTAGATTGCCTAGTCTTCCTTCTGAGAAGTGTCTGGTGGGTTTGAACCGCCAGCCTTCTGGTTACCAGTCAAATGCCTTAGGCACTATGCCACCAGAGCCCCTTAGGAAGGATATACCCAGTATAGCTTTGTTTCTGAGTTAGTTCTCAATCTTCAGTTTAAACTTTCATTATAACTCTTCTTATATTTTTAAATATTGTTTTAGAAACTGAAACCACATGTGGAAGATACTTAACATGATTTTGAAAATAGTTATAATCGTCAATAGTAAATATGTGCTTTGATTTAGCTATTACAATTGTGGTTCAGTTGAAAAAAAAATCTTGTAAATGATTAAAAACCCAGTGATAATGTCTTATGTTTGATTTTAAAGTGGCAGCATATATTTATTGAATCTCGGTTGTACTTTCAAGGACACATAAGGTATTGGTGACATTGCATATGCCCAGCTATAGAGCCATGAGATTGTGTCTCTCTGATCACCTCCTGTGAGTAGTAGAATTGACAGCTGTAGCTGCTGCCTATCTCTATCCACTACCATTTTCAAGCCAAAGCCAGGCTTCCCTTGGGCTGTTGTTCTTGTGTAATGTTGGGTGGGTTCTGACTCACAGTGACTCTACAGGACAGGGTGGAACTATCCTAAAGTTTCCTAGCCTATAATCTTCACAGGAACATATCATCAGGTTTTTTTCTCCATGGATTGGTTTGCTAGGTTCAAGCCCCCTGACTTTTAAATTAGCAACTGAGCATTTAACATTGTACCACCAAGGCTCCTTCCCTGAGGCTACTTCAGACCAGTTGTTGTTGTTGTTAAGTGCTGTTGAGTCGTTTCCGACTCATAGCGACCCCATGCACAGCAGAACGAAACACTGCCCGATCCCATGCCAGCCCCACAATCCCTGCTATACTTGAGCCCATCATCGCAGCCACCGTATCAATCCATCTCCTTGAAGGCCTCCCCCTCTTTCGGCGACCCTCCAC